GACGCCTCGACCCTGGATTACGAGCTGCTGTCGCCCGGGCAGGCGGAGGCCGGTCCCGGGCCCCCCGGCATGGACGCCGAGCAGAAGACGGTGTTTGCCTTTGTGGTCTTTCTGCTCATCTTCCTGGTGACGCTGATGGTGCGCTGCTTCCGCATCTTGCTGGACCCTTACAGCCGCATGCCAGCCTCCTCCTGGACTGACCACAAGGAGGGGCTGGAGCGCGGCCAGTTCGACTACGCCCTGGTCTAGCTGGGCACCTCGGGCCTCGGGCCCCTGGGCGAGGGGCCCCCGGAGCTGCTGCCAGTGTGGGGCTCCCTCCGCCCCACTGTATTTCTGTGTGACCTGTCTGTCTTGAGGGGGGGTGCAGGGGTGGACTGCCCCCCGCTTTGCTGTGGCTTTTCGGTGTTTCTTTGTGTCGTACAGACGGAGAGGGGGTCTGGGGGGCGCAGCCGGGAAAGGGGACGTTGGGGTTCGCGGGCCTCTGTAAACGGGGACCTTAATCACTGTTGCAACAAAATTCAGGAATTTGCTCTCCGCTAGCCTCCTCCCCGCCCCCCCAAAAAATCCGGGGGGCCCGTGCGGCGTGCAAATTTTGCACGCGTGGGGAGCAACCCATAAGCCCCTGCCTTATGCTGGCTTGTAAAAAACAACAACCAAGATTTGTGGTTTTTTTTCACCCAGTGGCTGAAAGAGGGGGAAAAAAAAACCACCCTCACCTCATCTGCAAATTCACACGGAGGCCTTAAAATCGCCACCACGGCCTCTTAAACCCCTTTCCAGCCAGCTGGCCTACCTTGCAAAGCTGTTGTTCCTGATTGGAATGCCGGCGGGCGACGGGACGCCTGGTTTTTGGAAACAGCCTTTTCAACCTGGGGTGGTGGTGAGGGGGGTCGCCCCCTTCTGTGGACTACATGCCCCGTGATTCCCAGCCTGGGGATTAGAGGGTTTTAGGGCGCCCAGGACGATGGTGTGTCTTTGTTTACCGTCCAAACCTAAAAAAAAAAATATGTTCCCTTCTTTTTTTGCAAGCAAAAATCTCCTTTTGCGTTGAAGAGTCTGTGTGGGTCGGTGTTTGGTGTGCGTGCGTGTGTGCATTTGTATATGTGTGTGATGACTAAGTGTGATCTTTTGAGAGTCTCTGTGTGTCACTCCAAGAACAAACGGAGCTGGGATTATCCCGTGCTGGCAGGTGCTCTCTTCCCCCCCCCCGAGCCCGTAACGATTCATTAATTACGTTGATTAGTAGTAATAATGATGAGAAGGAGGATTAATAAAGAGATTAATGCTTTCAGGAGCCAAAGGTGGGGATTAAAAAGCAGCTTTAGTGGCGTTAAACCAGTAATTCTAAACTTTAGCCGTTTTAACGTGGCTGGACTTCAATTCCCAGGATTCCCCAGCCAGCATTTAAAAACAAACAAACAAGGTTTTATATTTAGGCAGGAAAAATCAAGGGGACAAGTACAGATTAGGTGAGACCTCGCTTAAAAACAGCAACTGTGAGAGGGACCTTGGAGTCCTAGTGGACAATCACTTGACCATGAGCCAGTGGTGTGCAGCAGCAGCCAAAAAAGCTAACACAATCCTGGCTTGTATAAACAGAGGCATAGAATCAAGTATTAGTAGTGCTTTACAAAACCCTAGTAAGACCACACCTGGAATACTGCAGCCAGTTTTGGTCACCATATCGCAAAAAAGATGTTGAGAGTTTGGAAAAAAAATTCAGAGAAGAGCAACGAAGATGATCAAAGGAGACTGGAGACTAAAACATACAAAGAATGCCTGCGGGACTTGGGTTTGGCTAGTCTAGAGAAAAGAAGAAATAGGGGAGACAGGATAGCAGCATTCCAGTATTTGAGGGGCTGCCCCAAAGAAGAGGGGGTCGCGTTCTTCTCCAAAGCACCAGAGGGCAGGACGAGAAACAATGGTTGGAAACTGATCAAGGAGAGAAGCAATCTGGAATTAAGGAGAAACTTCCTGACAGGGAGGACAATGAACCAGGGGAACAGCTGGCCACCAGAAATCATGGGTGCTCCATCAATGGAGATTTTTAAGAAGAGACTGGACAGTCCCTTGTCTGAGATGGTATAGGTTCTCCTGCTTGAGCGGGGGGCTGGACTAGAAGACCTCCAAGGTCCCTTCCAGCTCTGTTCTGGAATAGAATATTCTAATTCCGATTCTAATGCAGACGGATCAGGCCCTGTTTCTAAGTCCAGACATCTGAAAATGTTGCTAAGGTTCAGAAATACTATTTTAACGGGGGGTGGGGGGGGAGAATCCATTTTTGGCACTGGGGAGATGAATCCAATAGAGTAAAGCTGGGAGAAAATAATGAATTTAGGAAAACTGACCAGGAAGAGACCCCCCCACCCCACCCCTTGGCTAGGGTGAAGATGTGGGTGGGCACCTGAGTTGGGGGGAGGGAAACATTCTCCTCCTGTCTTGGGTCATTCCAGCCCCAGCCCCACAGGCTGGGCATTCTGGGCCTTAGAGTCCAACCCATGTGGGGGAAGCAGTATTGGGGGGGCTGCAGGGGACCCAGGCAGACCCCCACACACACCCCAAATGGTTGTGGGGCCAGTGCACTGACTTTGCTGTTGGGCGGCTTTGGTGGATCAGGCCCTTTGTGCAGAAAGGGGTACAGTGCCTCTGAGCGTGCAAGGTCTGCTCACCGGGGTTTTTTTTTGGGGGGGGGGGAAATAGAGCATCCTGAAAGCCCCTTTCTCTCCCCCCCCAATGATGGGGCTCAGGAGGGGGCTGTCAACCCAACCAGTGGCCTTTTTCCAAAGATGAATCAGTGTCCCCCCCACCCCACCTGCCCAGTTTCCTGTCCCCCTAACATCTGAAGCTCTGCAAAACACAGCCAGGCCTTGAAACCCCAGCGGGGGGAGCTCCCGCCCAAACCATGTGCCTGTGGAGGATGGGAGTTGTAGTCCAGCTCATCCAGAGAGCGCCGCAAAAAAAGCTGCCGGGGTGCAGCGAAGTCCAGCAAGATGGGAGGCTGCGCTATGTACAATACAGGTCCGAAGGTCTTGTTTTGCAGCCATGAGGACTGGAGCCTTGATGCTAGAGTTGGGTTCCTGCGGTCCTCCTACAGCTCAGGGTCTGCGAAGGCTGGGCGCCATCTTGGAGATCAGGGTGGCCGGGGGGAGGAGGATGCCACAGCGGTCAGTTTGTCTAGTGGGGGGGTAGGAGAAGAAACATGGCATTCCCTCCCTGAACCTGTGGCGGGGAGTTCCGCAGACACCCTCCCTTTGCAAATGAGCTGGAACGGTAGCCCGTCCTTTGTGGGAGAGGCTGGGCGGAGCCACCGGGTTTTGGGTGGGGGGGTCTCGTTTGTGTCATCCTGTCTGTAAGGGGCTCCCTCCCTCCTTCCGGGGGTCCCCAATAAAGCTGTCTTTTGTTGCTAAGATCGGTCTCTGCCTCTCACTGTCCAGAAATGCATCATCCCGGATGCTGGTTAGTCCTTCTTGGTCAGTTGGGGTGGGTCCCTCTCCTTTGATCCTTGGGGACAGGACCGGGGGGGGGGG